CATCCAGCTTACTGCTTAGCAAAAAAAAAGAACCATTTTGTGCATGATCCTTTACTGCACTTTTCATTAGTGAGCTGCTATAAGTCTGATCCTCTTGGGGATATTTCCAAGCTGTGTGGAATGATACACAAAGCTCTGGGAAGCTCATTACCAGCGAGGTGCAAGCAAATGTGAGGGAACTAAGGAAACCACAGCTGTAATTGTGAAGAGCTGGAAGGTCTCCTCGTTGAGGAGACATCAAATGAGCTAAATGTGTAGGTCATCTAAACAGTTGCCACAAGTAGAGCTCCACAAGATGGGTAAACTGAAATACAGGAGCTGTCCACATGACTTATTAGCACACATCCAGAGGAGGTGAATCTGAATATTGCTTTCTGGCCTCAAAACAGTAGAACATGTAAAGAAGCTGGAAGGCAGCTTATTTAAAATGTGCAACATGTTATCTTTTTTCATTATTTGCCACTGCTATAATTTTTTTTCAAAAGCAAGAGATTTCCAGGACTGAAAATTGCTGAAAGCACTGTCTGGATGAAAGAACCAGTGGTAGAGTAGAAGAAATTCCTGAGAAGATAGATATGAAGAAGTGCTGGGGAGTTAATCATGTCTGTAGGTGTTTGCAGGCTTGATGCTTCTCCTGTGCATCAGTGCAGCAGTTAATTCACTGTGTTGGGGACTGAGCCGTGGTGCCTGTTCAGCCTGTTTTTTGGATTAGCCTCACCTCACTGCCCCTTTCCAACTCTGGAATGGGCCCACCCTCTTCTGTTTTGTCTTGGCCATTTGCCTTAATGAGACCTCAGCCCAAATGTTTTTGGAACATATCCTCAGTCATGGTGCTGCTTGTGGGAAGATGGGAAGAACTTTCCACACTTGATAGATGTCCTGCCTGGCTTAATTCCGCCATGCCAGGAACTAGAAGCCACTTGTCTCTGCCCACCCTTCAGCTGGTGTTGAAGACATTTGTTCTAGTACTTTGTCCTTTGCATATTCCTGCCTGTGGATCTTGCAGCAGTGGCTGAACACCTCCACCCTTTGCACTGTGTCAAGTTTAGGAAGGACAGCACAGGCTGTCTCTCACTTCATTCCCTTTTCAGTCCATGATCTAAGATGCAGAACTCCTATCTGCAGTTACACTAACTCATTGGCTTCTCCTTAGAACATGAAAATTATTATGGTTTTCCATTTAGCTTTTAGTTTTTAATACCTTTTGAAAACCTGTGGAGGTCTTTTGGAAGACTTAAGTTATTTTAAAGGAAACCATCTAGGAGCACTAGGGGCAGTTTGGCCACTGTCCAGTTCTGAACGGTGGTTAGTGACATGGTGAGGTGAAGAGCTAGAAGGAAGCCAGCGGGAGTACTGGCCTTGGTGTTCACTTATGGCATCTGTGTGCAGCCCCCACAGGGCTGGTGAGAAGACTTGCATGCCATGGGAGATTACTGACAGCTTATTGTGAGGTAAACTTGGGAGTGTGAAACCTGGTAGGGTATGTTGACCCTGGAGTGTGCAGAAGGACAGACACTTCCATGGACTCAGTTACAGTGTCTGACAGCAACTGCTCTGCTGTGTGCATCAGTGCTCACTGCAGAGAAGGATCTGTGTCACTTTGAAGATTCCTCATGAGCTGATTCCCTCTACGTTTGTCAGGGCTTTTCTGAAAATGCACCAGCTCCCTTTGGGATGAGCTTGGTTCTGTAGAAGTGGAAACGATGATTATCACGTTGCTGTATTTATTCGGAGAGGATGTGCAGCAGTTGTCAGTACCTAAGTGGGAATTCAGCTTCCAGCTGGTAGATTGAGTCTGAAAGGCAGAGCTGTGGGATGGAGAACAGGCAGGCACAAGATGCTGAGGCTTCTAATCTATTACAATATGTTTGTTTAATACAAAGTGGTCTGCTGAGATTGTTTTGCAGTGTGGAATGATCATTGTGTGCTGACTAATGGGAGACAGCAAGCTGTTACAGAGCCTCAGTTAACCATACAGGAGGAGGTTATTGAGTATTTTCCCAAGTGTTCAGAATGTGAAGAGTAAAGAATATTACTCAAGTGTAACCCTCAGAGATATTTAGCTATTGAAATCTACAAACTGCAACTAGAGTATTTGTAGACATACTTATGGTTGCAGAGCTTACCAGGAAGAACAGTGCAAGAAAGAACCTGAGCTGGCTTTCCAACTCCAGGCTGTGCTCATACAAAATAAATAGTGCTTTGCTAAACTTGCACCTTTATTTCATATTAATTCTTTTGAGAATTTCCCCTGTAAAGTTCTTCTAATGTTATCTCAGGAAGTATTGGTCCTCTTTACAGAAGATAATGTGTGATGCCCTTCTGATACTCAGATGTCAGACTTTCTTATACTTCTGCTTCCCTGACTGCCTAACTGTAAGGCTGTTGTCCTTGTCCTTAGAGCTGATTCTGCTTCAGGACAGTAGTTCTTATTTTCTATTGCTGTGAGTTAGAACTCAATGTACTTAGTGTTGAGAAAATCATGCTCTTCCATCATGTGCCTTGCACAACAGATAATAAAATTCTCCCAGTTTTAGCCAGTGGAGAATATGAAAACTTAAGTTTCATTAGGAATAGTTTCATGCAGCCCTACTAGTATTCTCTCTGAGTTCAGTATGAAAAATAAGTAACACTTTCTGGTCTTTGTTTGCAGAGTGATTTTGTTCTTTGTGATTAACAGGAATTTTTTCCCGTCCTGGATTCCACTGTTAAATCCACTTTGTGCAGACATCATTGTCCATTATTAATTGGCAGTGAGAAGACCAGATAACATTGATTTTATGTTTTCCGTTTTGTTTCTTCTAAAGCGATGTTAGAGAATTGGTCCTCAGATATTCTTTTTGCCAACAGCAAGAGATGTCCTGGGATTCCCTGGGGATTATGATAAGGAAGGACCCTGGGTTTTTGGGCAAGGGCAAAGATAGACTTCTCTCATCTTCAGTGCTCTATTCAAGTACCTTAATGAGCAGAGGTTTCCTTTAACAGACAGTTCTGCATCGATAAAGCCTTGAACGTGATAGGAAAAATTCAGACAAATTCACTCCTTTTCTGATTTGATGATTGATTTTCTTAATCTTTCTTGAGCAGGGGTGGGGGATAGGGAGAATAACCCATCCAAAGACTATGGAGAGGATTAATTGATTGCAGAGCTCACAAAGATATTCTGGTGAAGAAGTTGGGGTGAGTGAAGCCCTGTGAAGCTGGTGTCAGTGGGGAAATTTAACTGTGGCTGCAGCCCTCGTGCCTGCAGTGGTTTGCACTGTAAGAGAGCATAGTCTGAACCTTTGTATTTCATAAGCTTCTGAGTTTATTTCAGTAGTAAAACCCTCCCTACTGATCTATGGAAAAAGCCCTTTTTTCTTCAGATACAGCAGCTGGTTTGACCCTGAGCAGTTGTAGCATGACAAAGGCAGGGGGGTTTGCTACTGTAGGACTCTTGTCCTTGGTTTGAGTCCTGACCAATCTCTGGTGATTCAGAGAGATACCAAAATACCCCTGACTTTACAGGGAGTTTGTCAAAGCCCTGATATGTGGGATACCAATATTTAATGCAGATCTGCAGATTTAAAACCCCAAGGAGTTGTTCAGCTTCACCTGTGGTCAGGGAAGGGAGGGGTTGCAGAGCAGTTTCAAGGCTGGAAGGGGCTGTCATTAGCACTGAGCTTTGGCCGAAGGATTCATCTCTGAGCGGCAATGAAATGCTTCATGGTTCATTATCCTCACAGTAGGAAACAACATCTTATTCTGAAGCTGAATATCTAACTCAAATTTTCATCCATTTGATCTTCTTACAGCTTTGTCAGCAAAGTCTGACCTCTCACCACTTTCTTTTAGAATCTAAAACAATTCGTATATCTTGCCATGAATGGAATAGTTTGAGCTCTTGAAGTTTCATACTGTAAGTCTTGTTTTCTGGGCAGTGGCTCATTGGGTCACCTGCCTTTGAATCCTACTCTCTGTTTCCTTGTGTTTCTTAAAAGCGTGAACTCCAGAACTGCACACGAGTTCCAGGAGAGCTCTGGGATTTGTGCAGGTTGCTTTTTTGAAATTTCACTGCTTTTTGGCTGAGCTGATTTGGCATCTTGTTGCTGTAGCAAAAACAGAAAATACCTTTGGACCCAGAATAGTTTCCCTGAAGGCTGTAGCAGGGTACCTTTTCTTATGCATGTTTCCCCAGTGACAACTACGTTTTGAAATGAGTCACTGAATTCATGTTTAATCCACAGTAAAATTGGCAAGGCAATTACCATCTTGCAAGTTCTTCGAATCAAATTATTAACAAATCAAATTGAGAACATTAAATCAAATGCTTTGGAGAGATCCCAGTGTATACAATTGCTTTTATCATCCAGTCTGTGATTCTGTCACAAGAAAAGCTTTGTTTTCTTCAGCCTATCTTCAGTGGAAGTGTGCTGCCTGGTACTCATTTTGGTCTTAGCCTTTGTCTCTGCTCCATTATTTTCCTTTTCTTCTTTGTTACCCCCTAATGAGAATTGAGAATGAAGGAAATTCAGCTTGCAGCTGTCACCCTTGGTTTTTAGCATTGCCAGAAAGCATTTGCAAACTGCAGTAATACTGTTAATCACAAAGTAATTAAGCTGTCATGACAGGGTGGTGGCTTAAAGCAGAACAGTGATGAAGGCCACTCTGCTGGGTCCCCCTTTTTGCTCCATGTGTTTTACTCTGAGGTCAAACCACCCACTCCTTGGTAAGTGGGAAGCATGCAGAGCTCTTGTGTATCAGTCATCAGTGGAGAGGCTGGTGGACTGTGCATCTGCAAACAAATGGCTACGGCAGCTTTTTGGTCACTGGGGCTGCTACCTGATAGAAAACAAGAGTTAGATTAATTCAGTTTTCACTGCCATGCACTGAAGTTTACACTCACAGCTTTGGTACATCCTAGTCCAAACATGACATTTAGTGGTTTTCTGGCAGGGGGATTTTTTCACAGAATCTGTTATACCTTTTTTTTTAATTCCTCACCTTTTTTTCCTTTGCAGGTGAAAAGAAGAGAGGAAGAACTACAGAAGGAGGGGTTCTCTACTGCTGCTAGAAAGATACAGGAAAGTGTTGAACTAAAACTGCTAGATCTTGCACACCTTTGTGCTCCAAAGAAAAATAGAATGCATGGTTCTTGCAGACTGGTGTTCAGAAGCAAACATCTTGCCAGCAAAACAGGCTTCAGGAGGTCTGTATGTAAGGAGCCTGTTTCAGCTGTCAGTGCTGCAGAGGTGATCAGAGAGCTGCAGATGAGAGAGGCCAGCCTGGAGAGAGAGCTGAAGCAGCTGCAGGAAGAGTGCAGGCAGAGGCTGGAGGAAATTGCAGAAGGGTTGGATGGAGTGATTTGTATCTCCCCTTGAAGAGGTAAAGCTGGACTGGGAAGAGCAAAGGAACAGGCTGACTTGATCAGAAGAGATTGTGCAGGTTGGCATGGGGGAATGTGAAGTGAGGAACCAGCTGTAATGGCTAATTTTTGAGCCTGGGATTTGTAACTTGTTACTGCTTTTGGACTTGCACTGGGGCCATAACCTTGGTGGTCCTCTCTCCAGCCCCTTTGCTGCTAACTTTGCCAATTAAACTCTGCAGCAGGCCTTGCTGGGAATGTGCATAAATCTCCCTTTTATCTTTCAGGTTTCTAGTTCTTCTGCCAAGCACTGGGCTCTTTTACAGTGCTCAGCTGCTAGGCATGGCATACATTGAGGCTGTGCATTGAAGTACTAATTGCGTTCAATATTTTCCAGCAAATGGAAGAGTTAATTAGTCAGAAAAATTCAGGTGTTGAAGAACATGTAATAAGGCTTAGAGAGACTGGAAATGTTCAAGTGTGCTATTTTAATTCAGCTGGTTTGCATATTGGTGGCAGCTATAATCCAGTCACCATAAGGAAGACAATTACCTAATGATACATAAATCCACACACAGCTTTTGTTTACTGGTGTGATGCACTTGGGCTTTCAAAGAGAGCAAACTAGAAACCCATTCCACCAAGTTATGAGTAAATGAGGTAACTTACAGATCTGGTATGGGAAATTCTGTAAAATAGAAATACGACCTTAACTTCTAATCTTGAGGAGTCTCCAAGCTCTGTCTCTAGAGGCTTCTTCCCCTGAAACATGGAAATGTTTTTCACTTGGCATTCTTCTCCTATCCTCTTTTGTTTTGCTTTCACCAAGGAATATTTTGATACTCTAGTTGTACACTTTCAGGAATAAATAAATTTTTATAAACCAGTTTGCTTTTCACTTGTGAATTGCTATGAGCAATGGGCTTTCCTCAATCTGGATTTCTGTCTGCTACCCCAGCTCGATGGTGTTGCTGATTACCAGCTGCTCTTGACTCACTCAGCAGCCAAAGATGAGGAACATTTAAGGACCTCTTTCCAGGCATCAGTATGATTGCTGCTCTCCAGGGAGACAATGTGTGCAGGTGGGAGTTGGTGGACAAGACTCAGATTTTCTGGTTTCTGCTGCACCAAGTAAACTTCAGATGCTTCCAGGCCCTGTTCATCTGCACCACCTGTATTGGTTCTCATGCAGTTTTTTCAGAAGGTAGTAGCAATGCAAATGTCAGTGTTGAGCCACTTGTGGAGGGCTGTTTTGCCCAGGGTTCACCCAATTGAACACGGCATTGCTGGTAGGCCTGGAGTCGACAAGCTCAGTTCATTATGGCCAAGTTTCAGACAGTCCTTTCTCTGTGTGGACCTGACGGCTTCTCCAAGAACGAAGCGTGAGCAAGGCTGGTGAGGAGTGCAATTCTCAGCCACAGACCTCAACTCCAGACATCCCTACACAGATGGGCCAGCCCCTGGGAGCAGGGTGTTTGCCAGTGTGACCGAGGCTGTCGGTCACAACCAAGTGACTGCTGTCAGCTGTCAGCAGGGATGACAAACACAGTCCTGGAGCAGAAAATCCCAGTGTGCTAGTGAAATTCATCTCTGGGGCAGGTGTCCCCAGGCTGCTGCTCCTGGAAGAATAACCCCGGCTTTAAAAAGCCAAGCCATGTCACTCTCTTTTTCAAGCTATCTCAGTAAGTGCAGAGTACCAAGCACTGAACTGTTTCAAGCTGGTACCACTTTGGGAGGGTGTTTGCTGCAGGGTTGCTGAAGTTCAGTGCACAAGAAGACTTATTCAGACAGGTTTCACAGAAAATTATTCATGAATGGGAAAGAAACAGTATATCCTAGAACTAACAAGAGTGGCAGCACCAGTCTATCTGTCTCTGAGCATTTTATATCCTCCTTCAGGTTTTATACAAGCGAATTTTCATACTGCATCACATTTACGTTTAAAACATTGCCCTCAAAAGATCTTTTGTTCTCCTGGGGTTTTCAGCAGAAAAGAGCAGGCAAATATTCTTGAGCATGGCAAGAGCACTCAGGTTCAAGTGCAGGTCTAACTCGTGCCTTGCTGTGGCTTGTCAGGGTTGGCTTAATGCTGAATACCACAATGTATTATACTGCCATCCACTTAAATTGACAGTAGTCACTCATTAAATGACCTGTTTGCCGGTAGCAACCATTTGTCACCACACAGCACTTAGTGCAGTGTGCTTCAGTGTTCACCCAAGGATCCCCTTTCAGCAGAGACCACGACTGGCAGCAACTTTTCCCTGCTTGAGCCTGAAGACTCATTTTTCTCTTTGGTGGAATCTGCATATATGTGTGTTTAAAGTATAAAAGTGCCTACAGTGCATCACAGGCAGCAGCACTGACCACACAGCACAAGGTACCAAGGTGGCTGTGCTGTGAATGGGAAGCTGGCAGGAAAGCCAGTGGGTTGGAGATGGAACTGCTTGTTGTGGTGTATACATCAAGAGGGGCTAGAGCTGAAAGCAGTTTAAAAGGTGATTACTTTTCCTCTCATGGTCCTGTGCTGGCATTGTGCACTTCAGACAACTCATGCAAAGACCACAGGCAAGTATAGCTTTGCTGGCACCAATATCCACTGCCTTTTTTTTCAGGTACCAATTAACAGTTTAAATCAGAGCAGATATTCTGCAGTCCCTGCTGAAGATCAGCGAGGTGTTTTGAGCTGGCAGTGGTTTAAAAACTCAGACCTGCAGCGCCCTCTTCTCAGCACCAGCATGGAGAGCACATTGCAGGAGATTCTTTAAAGGGCTAGGTGCTCTCAGGCACCACATTTTGGAGGGTGCTTTTCCTGTGAAGGCCACTTTTTAAAAATCACAGCACCTCTGCAGGAGTTGGACACAAAGGGACTGAGCTGTGGTCAAGCCTTGGTGGCTGGCCACAGCTTTTGGTTGCTTTTGAGACATACTGAGGCATCTGAAATACAGATGCTCTCCTGTCCTGAGCTTGGCAAGGCAGCTGCCTCTGCAGTACTGCTGGGAGATGCTGTATGATGAACACCACTTGAAAACCTAAGAAAATAATTCCTGGATTAATACCAGCTGCAATGAGAGTAGGCAAGTGAACTAAGTGTCTGCAGTCACACTTAGTGTGTTTGTCACCTCATACTGTTAAGATGGCATTTGAAGTCTTTTCCTTTCCTTTTTTTAGGCTTATTTCTCTCACCCACTGTCATAACTCACTGATTTTAAAGGCTCTGTTGGCTTTCTTGGTCACCAGTGCTTGGCCCTTTGTCAGCAGTGCAGAAATGGGAATGGCTGCCCTGGGAGACGTGTGGCAGCAACCAAATGACTGGTTGGTCTCTGGCAGATGCTGCGACAGGCAGAAGATGACTCAAGTGGTACATTTCATCCATGGACTCAAGCGCGCTTGGTAAATGTTAAGTATTTCTTCACAGAAATTGGAGAGTGTTGTAAACAACTCACTACAGACAGAAAAGTGAAGATACAAGCTGTTAAGCACTTTGTCCTTTGCTGTATCACCATGCTGGTTGTACATTTCCTCGTGAAGGCAAGAATCTGCCCTAACATTGTTGATGGTGTTGAACAGAGGAGAGTGAGTATTGGCTGGAGAAGCTGGTAGAGAGCAAGTCACACGTGTTGCTGAACTCAGGTGGTGGGGAAGGCTGGTGGTGATGCTGCCCTAAAGTGTGGAATAGGCAGCAGGGTTTGTTTGGTTTGGTTTTTTAGTTTAAGAGGCTACAGCAGAAGTTCTCCCTTTCGGTGCATCCTAAAGGGAGTTAGTTTAGTTTGGGTTTGGACCCAGGGTTTCTAAGTGATCTCAGGAAGAGAGGAGCATCTTAGAGGTGATGTTCCATGCTGGAAAAGCAGGAAACCAGGGTTAAATTGGCACCCACCAGAGATGCTGCTCATAGTCATGGAGTGCACCTGAGGGCTCAGGCAGTTGAGCTGTCCCTGATGTTTACCTGGTCGTAGCTCACAGCAAAGCCTGCCCCATAGCACCTAACCCTCCTTGCAGGGCTGAGACCACGTGGCTTTTTGCTTCATGCTGTGGTGGTGCTTCACTGAAGACAGGTTGAGTTACTGCTGCAGTGTGTAAACCACCCTCTTGGGTGATGAGAGCCTTAAGAGAAGCTTTTCTAGGACTGTAGTTTCTGGTAGACTAGCACAGAGGTGTTTATAGAAGAGCCGAGTTTTACCAGTTTCTCTGATGTAACTGGTGTTTGCTTTCCAAACATCTTGCTAGGAAAATGGAATGGGCCATAAATACTTAATTGGCTGATAACTCTAGCTCACACTGTGTAGCTAGAAATATTCCTCCCCAAATAACTGAGCATCAATCAGCTTGCAGTCAAAACAGGAGGTTTACTTTGCAAAAGGCAAGCGAGGCATCTGCAGTCACTGCTCCTGACAACATTGTGCCTGCTGGTAAATAAGGGCTGCAACCTATGTTTAAAAATAAGAGCTGCTGGGAGTAGTGATTTCCAGCCTAGAGTGTTTTGGGTTCCCTGTGGGATTCCTCCACCAGCTCCTGCAGGAGGAAGAGCTTGTAGCACTTGGTGTGATTGCATGTGCATGGCAGCGTGGTGCAGGGTCAGTGGGACTTAACACGTGCCTGATGGTTGAGCTCCCTCTCCTCTGACCCTCAGCCGCTTGCAGCCAGAACCTCTGGTCTTTGGCCCTCACTCTTCATCTCCTGGCGCCCTCAGCTTGTGTGAAGCAGCCTGCTGGTACTGCTGCTCCTTCACTAACAGCCCAAACCCTCGTGGCCAAGGTCCTGTAGCCTCTAGGGTTGAAGCTTCTGGTCCTCCCAGCCCCTCTGTACCTGCCCTGTGTCCCAGTTGCCGGGTTGTGGCCAGAGCCCTGTCCCTATCCAAAGGGTTTTGTTCCCTATCTGCTCTGAAATGGGTGACAATGCAAAGGGAGGTGTACAGCCCATGGGGACTGTGCAAGCATCCAACCTCATGTAGTGCAGGCCTCTCTCCTGGGCTGGAACTGCCTGTCCCAGCCCCAGCTTCTGGGTCCCTTGGGCTTG